GCCGAACTGCAGAACTGCAGTCAGCTGAAGTAGCCTACAGTACTGCACTCTAACCACTGCGCCACCTCGGCTCTTATTTTATAAGAAGCACTCTGCAAAATTAGCTTTGGATTTCCAGGGGCCCTTAGGACAGCCATGTTTCCTATTTACAAATAGTTTGCACTTGAGGGCCAAGTGATGGTGACGGGAAACAGGGACTGAAAGACAAAAACAAGGCAACTTGTAAGAGAAACAAAAAAGATTGAGTGCTGGCCTAGATCATCTGGTTTTTTCCAAATTAAAAAAAGCTATTACCTTGGCCCCTATTGAGCTTGTAGATAATGTTTTCAGAGGTTGCCAAAGAATTGTAAAAAAATTGTCCACATGTAAATTTAAACCACTAAATCTGGACTACAAAAGAATTGAGCACTAGATGGCATCAATGAGCTTAAAAAATTCCTTTTGCCTCTGTTTCCCTCTAGTGCAAGAATCTCAAAGTCAAATTAAGTGCCAAATGATAACTAAGTTCAATTGCCCAAAATGAACACTGTGATTTCTTGATACGCTGATACAAAACTAAAGTTAAAAATAAAATAAGAAAATAAAGGATATCACGATGTGCTATTCAACATTACTTTTCTGAATTAAACAAGCAAATACCCTTAACTGTGAAATAGAGCAACTTTTCTCTCAGATCACGGTGGCCAATTTCCTACACAAATAGATAAATTGAAAGAGTTCTGCAAGGGAATCTTAACTAAGTACAAAATATTGGTTCTAAGGTCTGTAACAAATGATTGTACAAAAGAAACCTTGTAATCTTTAACTTTTTCTTAGACATTTGTGATAGAGAACGTAAGCTTTGCCCACATCAGGCATAATAACAGAGAGTTCACAATTTCCAATCATTCTGGAAGTCTCAATTTTTCTAACAGTAATAATTCTTGTCTAATTAATCTCTTTAGCAGAGCAGGATTCTTTGACGTTCCCCTGGGAGTTAGACTAAGTTCAGGAGCTTCTACAGTATTGCTGAGCACTTTTTCCACTGTTGCTGACCTCAGAAAACTGACAACAGGCGAAGTACATCTATAAAAAAAAAAGTTAAAGGCTAAGAAAATATTCTTCCCAGATCTACACTGTAACATCTTCCTTTCATCAAGTAGATTGACATTTAACTACTCTAGGCAAATATTACTCTAGGTTCTTCCACACAATTCCAATGACCTGGTTTAACCCAACTTATATATTTTGAAGACATGTTCTCAAAATGGAGCCTTCATCTTGAAGTCAGCCTGCAGGCTGATGCTGAGTCAAGGTGTTACAGAGGATAGTGTTTTCCACCAGAAAGTCGAATATTTCCTTTGCAGACATCAATGTTGCCTGGAGAAGTCATCTATTGGGCTCCAAGGTTCCCTCTCCCATCTGTGCCCTTACAGTCATGTCTGGTCATGAGGTCAGTATTTTCATCCATCCATGCACAAATAAAAATGAATTTAAGGGAAGAAATGTCCTGGACTGTAGTTGCATATCAGAAACTTATCTTGCACTCCCTGTACCAGTTCCCACACACCATCTGTATGCAAAATGTCTTAATGTTTACCCGGGGTTCTAGGGAAGCTGTCCAAATCCATCCCCAATATTTCCAGCATCCATCCTGGATACAGAAGAACAGGAATACTTTGATGTTAGTGAGCCCTCTATCTATGCCACCACAGCCAACTTGACAGAATTCCTATAACTAATGTGTGGGAGCTACTATATCAAGAGAGACTTGTCTAGTGGAAAAAGCAAAAATGCTGAGAATGCAAACATGAAATGGACTTCAATAGTTCAGTCTTGAAGCTATGAGAAGCTAAGATTTCTCTGCATAGGGGACAACACAAGAAAGAAACATGAAGGATTTGAAATAGGAAGCAAATTCTCTCCCATCTGCTGAGAGTCTCTTGGGGTTTGTTATAGCTGCTCTTCAAACATTACAATAAAAAATTACTTCTGCCGACGTGCATCCTTTCCAACTTTCTCCACACGCTCCATTTACAAATACTGCTGTTATTAGACAGCCATTATATCGTCCATATGCTTGAAAAAGGTTTAAAGGAAATGGAGGGAAGCAATTCAGGTTTTTGACAAAGCTCAGGCATTTCCTCCCTTCTACACATTGAATATGACATTCTTCTTCAAGACTAGTCAATCAAGGTCAACTTGAGGAATTACAGTAAAAGCTGTCATTAATTTTGTTTCTACATCCATTCTAGAAGCATTATGTAAATTGAATTATGTCATATGTTCATTTCAAATCATGATCAAATACTCCATTTGCTGTATTTTAGCGCATAAAGCCATTTTAGTACACTTGTCAACAAACTAAATGCACAATATTAGCTTTCTTTATCATCTCCGTGCATGGTATCCCGGGGACTGCAGTGAGATTTTTTTTTTCAACAGCCAGGAGAGGACTTAATACTGTCTATTGCAATTGGTAAGAGAGGAGCTGGACAGAAATTCAGAAAGTACATTTTGTCAGAAAATGGCAGGACTACAAAGATGGATTTGGTTCAATTAATGTTAATTGTTGACCAGGTCAGGGGTTCTCAAACTTTGTGGTGTAATGACTTTTAAAATAATACATAGACTTGTGTGACATCCCCTCCAAATAAAGGAGGAGGAGGTGCTCCTGCTATCTATCTACACAGTTTAGGGGTGTGTGTGTGTGCATGCTAGTCTTCCACATCCAAAGGAAGGTTGCTGGAACACTGTCAGAACTTATTTCTGAAACCAAGGCTTTCCTTTGATGGTCTCTGTAGTCATAGCAGTAGTGCCTGAAAAAACTCCAAAACATTCATGAGCATCTCCTAAGGTACAATCAAGGTACTGGTGTCTAGTCTCACTTTTCCTGATCCCAAGGGAAGGTCTTACTTCTTGTCTCATTGGGTTCTGGTGCTGAGCCTGTGTCACATCTCTGAGCAGCCAAAGTTCTGCAAGTCACCTTACTTCTTGGATAAGGACAACAACCTGTGATAGGAGACCAGCATGCCTGGATTGCCTAGAGCCAATGCACAGGGGGTCAGCACGACAGATGGGCAGTACCCAGTGAAGGCTGCTCATGTCCAGGCAGGGTGAATTTGGTTGCAACTCCCAATTTAAGAATCCCTAGGTTTGATAAGGAGTTCATATGCTGATTAAACAAATGATCCCCATGATCAAAAATGTATTTAGGATTAAACTGGTAGAATGGAGACTACAAGATATTCTACTGTGAAGAGGAAGTATTTCAAAGCAGACATTAAATATATGGAGAATATGGGACATTCTACATTGACTGGGACATGCAGTTTCTAGTTCCATTACTTTGTGTTAGTGATTGTCTTTCAGCCCTAGGAAGGAGGCAATGACAAACCAGTTCTGAAAATCTTGCCAGGAAAACCTCATGAGTAAGTCCCAGTGATTGCCAGGTACCAACACTAACTCAAATACATCACAGAGCGAAGATGAAATAGATTTATGAAAATATACCTAGATGATCAAACCTGCTGCTTATTGCCTGGATTGTTACATGCAATTCAGGTTAAAGGAATTGTTGTTTCATTAAGTTGCCTGAAAAACATGGGAAAGATGAGGGTATTATTTGTTGTTTATATTTAAATAGTGAATTAAACTAGATTAAGTGCAAGAGAACATTAGATTACACATATATAATGCTCAAAATATTATCCAGAAGGATGTTAACATGTAGAAATAACAAATTAGTGAGTAATATTGAGAGATAAAAAAAATCTTACTTTTCTTTAAAGGAATATTATTTATCTGTGTGAAATAATGTATGAGTTACTACATAGACGTACAGTGAAGGGAACATCAGAGCCTTTCACATTATGAAATTATATTCTATAATCTTTAACCTGTTTTCTTT